TTTCTGCCCACGTGGGGAGAAGAACCGTGCAAAACAAGGAGACGAGGTGACGTCGCCTTATGTTTTTGCCCGTGTGAGGAGAAGAAACCGAGGTTTCCTTCTCCCAACGACTCTCGGTTTCTTCTCCTTGCGACATCGCCGAGGCTTCTTCTCCCCGTGTGGATGAGAAGTCACCGACGACGCCGAAGCCTTGTCGTCTCAGACACGGAGGATGCGACATCTCATCTTTGGCATCCGACGAGGGAGGGCGGTGACGGATCGGGATCGTCGAGGGAGAGCGGTGCCGGATCTTCACGTTCTTCCTTTTCTTCTCCCTCTTCTTTCGACTAATACCACCCAGGAACGGGCGGTGACGATCAAAATCGACCGTCACCGACCGTTTTCAGATGGTAACGAGACGGAAACAACCCCAATCGACAGTACCGCCCAATAGTGGGCAGTCCGCGTACTGGTCTGCTGGTAGACCGGTACATTCCACCGGTACGAGCGGTATTATTCGAAATTAAAATCCTTGCTACAAACAGCCATGAAATTCTTTTCTTTGTGGAAAACGTTATCGAATATGACTTGTATATCAGTTTCCTTTAATGCATAGCTGCAGTCATATTTGAAAGACATGTACCTCGAACAGCAGTAGTAACTCCAGGATGTTTTCCTCCACTCTATATCCAGTACAGGAAGCAACGTGTTTCAGTAAGTAAAGAATTCACTAATTACTTGTCACCTCTTGTTGTCCTGATGATAAGCTTACTCCCAGCTATTTGATCAACAAGATTGTTGACTACTCTGCTCTGCTTCTGATTTTCATCTTGTTTTCTCCATTCATATTCTTGTTACGTCTAAATTGGTTAATCATATATTTGAATTTTTCATGATAATCTCATTGGCACCTAGGTTAATTTCTTTCTAGGTGGTCTATACTAATGTCGAAAGAAAAGAATGCACTTCTATTGTTATGAAGGATAACTAATTTGAAATAAAATAAAAAATGAAATAAAATCATATTCAAGTTCATTGATTAGCTGGTTTCCTCGAGTTATTTGTACTTTGCTTGCTAATTATGAAGAAGTTAGTGCCACTTAATAATTTCCATTGACAAAGAAGTACAATACAAGATGTTTTAGGTTGTGATAAGAGATATAGAAGCATGTGATAAAATAAAGATATAATGAGCTTATTGTTTAATTCTGAATGAATATGTCGTGAGCCAATAGTTTATGTCTAGTTAATGGTGGTGGAGAATGGAGAAAACATAATGATGCTGGTTGAAGGATGTTGTAATTAGTGGAAATATTTAATGAGGACTCAAAGATATAATGTGTTTTGTACATTTGGTATGTGAAGTTGGAATTCAGCAGCTACTGATACTTGGATTGATATGATGTGTAGGTCTGAGAAAAATTGGTGGCCATGTGCTATGTCACAATGACTTGATTTGCAACCAAATACTCTCAGTTTCTTAGGTTGAAATCAAAGCCTGTTGGACCTTTTTACATGAGTTCTGAATGATCCCAACAAAATGCCTTGACAAGGGTTCTGCACAGCTAGATCGTGTTGTTCCTGTTCACAATTGCTTCTCTAGATCAACTCGTTATTTATAACATGTGGAAATGCATATACTTTCCCCTATATCATCATAGATATGTTGGGGTAAAAACTTGAAAAAGAGAATTAAATTTGATCCCTTTAACAAAAACTAAAGAGAATAAGTTTTGGACATGATTCAAAGGCACATGTTTGTTGACCTGAGGAATGATTTCGTCCTTCATGCAAGTATATGGTTGAATCCATTCCCCAAGGATACGGCCGTTTATTTATCTTCTACACACAATTGTAATTGTGAAGAAGTCGACTAGCTTCTTTCAATTTGAGCAGCAGAAAAGATAAGAGAGTTGAAAAAAGACATGTAGAAATCTTGAAGAGGATTTTCTAAGGAGAAGAACCGTCGTTGTCTTCAAAGAAGAATTTGCATTTTGTAAATCAAGCATCCTTTATATAGAAGAGTTAATATGTAACATCTTGCAATAATAATAATCCAAAGGGTTAATAATCAGTAAATCCAATTTAACATCTAAATTAATGGATGATGAAAGTAACAGATACAATTAAAAAATGGTAAGAAAAGAAATAAAGAAAGAAAGAAAGTGAAAGGTAAATGGAAAAGAAATTTTGAGGTTTCTGTTTTTAAAAATAAAAACTGTAACAGGATCAACCAATCAGCATTGCTTTTTGTAGCTAATAGCAGAGGTCAGCATACTTGGTTGAAAAAGTTGACCGTGGAGTCTCAAAGGTTCAAGGTAGCCATGACAAATTTCAGCATAATTATACTGTTGATGATGATGTAATACTATAAAGCTTTTCATGCTATTCTCTATCACTTATAACCAGTTTTGGAGCTAGGCATCTAAAGATTTGAGAGCAAGGAAGGGGAGGGATACTGTTCGGTTCGGAAGAAGAAAGTGAAGCAAAGGCTCTTCTGCTCTTTTACAAAAGCATAACATCATTTAGCCTGAAAGTTTAGCCAAATGATGTATTTGTATAGGCATACAGTGTTTAAGTCCATAAAGTGAATCAGTCAAATTATTATGTTTATAACTTGTCTGCGTTGTAGTATTAACAATCCACATGCCAAATAAAGTGTACATCTGCAATGTATTGACACCGAAATGCTGTAAGCAACAATTGCCCTCCATCTTATAATGGGCATTTGATGTATTAGTATTAATATTGTTGCTAAACAGTATTAGTTTAGATACCTACACTCAGCAACAGTATTACATTATACAACAAATTCTTTACATTTGTTTATGGAGGCAATTCTTGTTTCTTTTTTTGCTTGCAGTTCTGGCAAATCTGCCAGTTGAAGATTGTGCAAGACTAAGCAACCTTACATTTATCCTCATGGTTACTCGTGGAAGCTTACCATGACTCCTGAGCAAGCAGCTCTGATCATGTATCGTTTGTTGGCACATGCGGGAGCTGTACAGCTTACTTGGACACTCTGCTCCGGAGAAGATGGTCATGAGAGATCCAAGTGAGAGGTTATCTTCTCAACAGTGCCATGGGCACAGCAGAGATGAGGTACCGAGAACAGAGGTCAAGAAGCTCTTTTGGTGCAAGTCTTTGGCATTTGACTCTCTTGTCTTCAACCAGAGCCATCTCAAGTCAACTTAATCTAAATCCAGGGCTCGTTTGAATTGTACCAAACTCAATGTAAGTAAAGATGGCTAACTATGCAATCATTGCAGTGTCATGGAAATTCCAATCAAGCAGTGATACCTTCGATGACAAGCCTATTGACCTCCATGTGTTTGCCAGGATAATCCTGCTGATGGCCCCAGAAGTAGAATGGAGGAATGGACCATCAGTATGAAGCTCCAAATCAAGTTCAGGCTTAAACTTGGTCGGGGGGCAACGACCATGGGGTATGCATTCAAAGGTCACCTTCTCCCTCTAGCTTTTAGCTGGTGATACTGATGATTTTTTCCCCTGAGAAAATATATGATGTTTTGTTTTAGTAATATCATAGTTTTAGTTTTCAACTGCAGAGAAAATACAAATAATTTGCACTTGGTTTATCTGAGGTAATATTTTGTTGCATTTATTTTGGATCATACTTACATATGGTAAAACATGATAATAGATGAGACATGCACGGAATAAAAATGCCAAAGTTCCATGTGATCATGCAAAGTGATGCATTGTGATTGTAGTATAAAAATGACCCTTACAATGTATATCAAGGAATAAAAATCCCAAATCTTCCATGCAACTGACCCTTACAATGTATGATATACATGCAAAGCGAAGAAAATCTACATATATATGCTAGTATAAAAATGCCAAAGTTCTGTCATGCTTGCAATCTTCCAATGCTTTATTTCATGTGAACCTCATCAACTGATGCAATTGAACTGTGTGAAAAGGCTGCCGAGTAGCTTCAACCTTGCCAGCATCAAGTGCTTGAGATACATGTTGCATGCTTGGTCGAGACTGCGGTCTGATGCTGATGCATTGTAGCGCAAGCTTTGCAGCCAACATCACAGCATTTGATTCCTCCGGTTTTGGGAGTGGGATACGTTGGTCCAGTAGATCCATGAGCAATATATTTTGACCATCTGATGGCCGAGCGGAGATGAGCTCCCCAGGATGCCTCCCTTGCAGCACTTCCAGAATCACCACGCCAAAGCTATACACATCATGCTTCTCGGTGATCTTCATGGTGTAAGAAAGCTCTGCAGCATGATCAGAGGAGAAGATTCAGGTAGCCACATCGTATCTTAGACAACATGCTCAGCAGAAAATTAAGATGTTCTTATAGGGATTTTTTACCTGGTGCCATGTATCCGGGTGTGCCTGCATGCTCACTCCAATTCGACGAATCCGGATTCACTGACCTTGCAATGCCAAAGTCTGCAACACGAGCCTTGAGCTCTGAATCCAGCAGAATGTTCTTGCTCGATATGTCTCGGTGCACGACAGGCGGACTGCAATCATGGTGCATGTAGGACAAAGCATTGGCCACATCCTTGATGAGGCATACTCTCTTACTCCAGTCCAGTTCGATGGCTACTTCTTCACTGCTCAGAATGGTCGATAAGTTGCCCTTCTCAATGTAGTCATAGATGAGAAACATGCACCGAGCATGAGAGCAGAAGCCATAAAACCTCACGATGTTACGATGCCGTATCTTGGTCAGGGCCTCAATCTCACTCCTGAAGCCTCTCTCATCGTCTAAAGAATGAAGCTTCTTAACAGCTACTACCTGGCCTGTACGGAGCTGTGCTTTGTAGACACTGCCATATCCTCCCACCCCAATACAGTACTTCTCATCAAAGTTTTCTGTGGCTTCGACGATTTCATCATACAGAACCTTTCCATCAAAATCCAACGCAGAAAGTAGATCCTTAGCGGAGGCTTCCGTGTTGTTTTCCTTCAAATTTTTCCGTCGAACGCGGAGTGTAATGATCAATCCGAGTAGAATCACGAGGAAAAGAAGCACCACTGGAGGAAGCACACTTGCAAGAACTATTTTGTGGCGCTTGTTTGAACCATGGCGGCTTGCAGGTTGTGGACATGGAGATAAATGAAGCACTTTGCCGCACAAGCCTTTGTTGTGCTCAAACCATTCTACCTGCGCATTCCGCAAGAATCGATTCTCAGGAATTGGCCCTTCCAAGTTGTTGTACGACACATCAAAGGTTAACAAGCTTTGCATGTCACTGTAGCTCGATGGAAGGGGACCGGAAAGTCCATTGTGAGAGAGGTTCAGGTTTTCCAGCTTATCAAGCCTGCCAATGTCACTTGGGATGGTCCCTGTGAGAGAATTATGACTGAGGTCAAGCATCTCTTGGATGTTCACTAGCCTCCCAATCTCCAGAGGAATGCTTCCATTCAGCTCATTTGCACTCAACCTCAGGTCAAGGAGTCTAAGGCACTGCCCTATTTGCATGGGTATGGTCTCAGTAAGGTGGTTGTTAGAGAGATCAAGAGTGGCTAAGCTAGACAAGTTTCCGATCTCTGATGGTATTCTCCCTGACAATAGGTTATTGCTTAGATTCAGATTCAGCAGCAAAGTTAAACCACCCAGTTGCTTTGGCACCTCTCTAACTATCTGATTAGAAGATAGATCAAGTGATGCCAACTGAGTTATGTTGCCAAACTGGGGAGGTATTCTTCCTGTGATCATGTTGCCTGACATGTGCAGAGTGGCCAAGTTTGGACACTTGACCCAGTTCGTCGAGAGTTCGCCGGAGAATCTATTGTCGCTTAGATCAATAAAGTCCAGATTAGGGTACACTCCGAAGACTTGGGAGACATCACCTGTGAGATGGTTATTGCTCAGTTGAAGCCTTACCAGACTGGTGCAGTTCCTCAAGCTTCTCGATATCGGACCATCGAAATGGTTTTCATTCGCGCTGAAATACTCGAGTTTTCCTCCCTTGCATACATCTGGAGGTAAAGGGCCTGAGAAGTCGTTGCTACTCAACTGCAGCTGAGAGATGTTGGTGAGGTTCGCTAGTTCTTGAGGCAAAGGACCTGAGAGCTGATTCTGGAAGATCTCCAGGTCTGTCAGCCTCGTCAGGTTGCCAAAAGATGGGGGAACCAGACCAGATAACTGATTCTTGGAGACTACCAGATCTTCCAGGCTCAGCAAATTTCCTAGTGCATGAGGAATGGTTCCTGAGAGTTGATTAAAGTTCAATGACAAAGATTTAAGCATGGACAGTCTCCCAAGAACTGGTGGTATTGGCCCAGATAGCTCGTTCATGTAGATGTACAGAGTCTCTACATTTGTTAGGTTCCCTAAACTAGAAGGGATGGTGCCTGTTAAGAGATTCTCTGACAGCCTGAGATCCTCCATGTTGACCAGATTGCCGAATTCATGAGGAATTGGACCATTGATGCCGTTGTTGAGGAGGTACAGGAGTTTGAGCTGTGACAAGTTTCCAAGGCAAGAAGGAATGGGACCAGACAAAGTGTTATGGTAGAGAGAGATGGAGTTTATCTTTGTTAGATTGGCTATAGATGGAGGAATAGAGCCTGTCAGGTTATTGGTGTTCAGATTTAGCACAACCAGGTTCGTAAGCTCACCAACTTGATGTGGTATGGAGCCACTTAATCGATTCTTGTAGAGACGAAGAACACGAAGGTTGGATAAGTACCGGATCTCGTCGGGAATGGTTCCAGTGAGTCGATTGAATTGAAGCTGTAGGTGTGTCAGCCTGGTCCAGTTGGCGACGGCCGCCGATGAGAGTTTGCCACCCACTTGGTTGGCAGAAAGGTCGAGCTTCACGAGGCCGGAGAGGACTGCCAGTGAGGCAGGGAGCTCGCCGGAGAAGCGATTGTGGGAGAGATCGAGATCGGCGAGGCTGGAGAGGTTGGCGATGGCGGCGGGGATGGCGCCGAAGAGCGAGTTGCGGCGGAGGCGGAGGACGGTGAGGGATCGGAGGGCGGTGAAGTCGAGTGTGTCGAGCGTGCCGGCCAGGCCAGCTCGCAGGACGCTCACGTTGGTGACTAGCCCATTGGTGCACGTGATCCCAAACCAGTGGCATGGGCTGGCGGTGGTGGTGTTGTGTGTGTCAATGTTCCAGGACTGCAGAGCTCTTGGTGTTGGGCCTCGGAGAGAGGATTTCCAGTGGAGGAGAGCATGTGCTTGGGACATTGGAGAAGCTTGAGCCAGTGGGAGAGCTAGGAGAAGGGAGAACAACAGGTGCAGGAAAGCAAGAAACGACGGGGACTCCATTGTAGCTAAGCTCTGTGGTCTGTGTGGTGCAAGAGGGAGTTCTCAGCAGCTTATGAAGACAAGGTGAGGTGCTGCTGCCGGTGCAAACTGCAACAGATTCCTCCAGTTCAGATGACGTGCACTCGAAGTCCATGGAAGAAAGATCATGGAAGACGACTCATCTGACTTCACAGTCTTCCAAATGACGTAACGTGACTCCTGTCCGATGAATGAGTGGGAACTGAAACGGCGGGCCTTTGGAAGATGGTATAACACGGAATTGGAGTGTTGGTCGGGCCGTAGCTGATCATACCATGGACTGATCAGTCTGAACGTGACGCATATAATTCATTTAATGGGTCAATAAGATTTGTCATGTCACCATATAATTCATTTTTCTCATATGTTTTAACAATCTTTAATTTGTTAGTTACTGCTGCACATCATATTAGCATTTACCTGTTTTTGCTCATAAGATATTTATTGCTTTTCAGGTGATTTGTTCTGCTCGATCAATGGACTGATGAAGTTTCGCACGAAACAAGAAGCCATTGTTGTAGAGTCCACAATTTACTTCAGGCAAAATGTAGTAAACTTTGTAGGTCAATAAATCTAAGTTCGCAAAGGTAAGTGAAGGTTACAAATCATAGTAAGAAGATTAATCCATGAGACAAGCAGCCGAAGAATTCTCATCAGAATGACAGTAGAATATGCACCGTAGTTTGAATTCAAAAGGGTGAATTAGCTTACTGTGGACCAAATCAGCAAGCTTTCATCTGCATCATCTTCCCTGCAGTTAATGGTGTCATCTTCCTCAGCACATAAATGGCAATATCTTCCACAGTGATTCCTTTCAGATGTAACCCTTTTGGTTGGTGCTCTAGTAAATCCTCTCTCACCAACCTATTTACTCACTCCACCAACTTTACCATGGCATCCTCTTCCACACCTTCTTCAATGCTGAGGTTAATGGGTTATGCTCAGGTTTTATTTCAAGCTCTTGACGGATTGGCTGAGTCACCGGAACTGTTCCATCCGACACCGCAAGCTTTCTCACAACCATGAGCGAGCCGTTGCTTCTCTTCGCTTATGTCACCTTCCTCGCGGTCTTTGGGAGCTCCTCGACACCTTCGGAGGCCCGCGCCTTCTTCGTCTTCGGTGATTCCCTCGTCGACAGTGGCAACAACAACTACTTGGCGACCACTGCTCGAGCTGACAACATTCCTTACGGCATCGATTCCCCGTCTCACCGGCCGACAGGGAGATTCTCCAATGGCCGTAACATAGCTGACGTTATGAGTGAAGTGTTCCCGTCTGCAACTCCCACGTATTTGTGAGTGAAACATCATCGTGACAGCCTAACAGTCGTAGCATGCATGTCTCAGGTGAACAACTTGGAGGTGAACCCACACTGCCTTACCTCAGCCCCGAGCTGCGAGGGGAGAAGCTGCTTGTTGGCGCTAACTTCGCGTCGGCGGGGGTTGGGATTCTAGACGACACCGGGATCCAATTCGTAAGGCGATCGATCTTTGCAGGTTAAGCTTAGTCGCGACTTCTCCGTACCGATGCGAGCATTTACCTGCAGGCAAACGTCATTAGAATCAGCAAGCAGCTGCAATATTTTGAGGAGTACCAGGAGAAACTGAGTGCTCTGGTAGGTCGATCGCAGGCGAGGAAGATAGTGAGCCACGGGCTGGTGATGATCACCCTCGGAGGCAATGATTTCGTCAACAACTACTACTTGATCCCCCTTTCTCTGCGATCTCGCCAGTTTTCTCTGCCCGACTTCGTACGCTATCTGATATTCGAGTACAGGAAAGTTCTCGTGGTAGGATTTCTCTCCATGGATGTTGCGATCTCTTCTTCTTGCTCCATTCAGTAAAGTTCCCTGTTCCCAACTTCTGCAGAGGCTGTACGAGTTGGGGGCTCGTTTGATCCTCGTCACCGGGACCGGGCCACTCGGTTGCGTTCCAGCCGAGCTCGCCTTGAGGAGAAGTCTGAGCGGCGAGTGCGATCCCGAGCTGCAAAGAGCGGCAGACATGTTCAACATGCTGTTGTTCGACGTGGTGAGGGAACTCAACCTCGAAATCGACTATGTTAGCTTCATAGCAGCCAACGCCTTCAACATGCACATGAACTACATTACAAATCCGCAGGTCTACGGTAAATGCCATGACCAGCATTTCTCGACACTTTCCTCGCAAACTGAAGCAACATGAACAATGACCATCTCTGCCACCAAACCTTTGCAGGTTTCATCACGTCGAAGGTCGCGTGCTGTGGGCAAGGACTTTTCAATGGCGTCGGGCTCTGCACTGCGGTATCCAAGCTCTGTGAAGATCGAGACGAGTACGCCTTCTGGGACGCGTTCCATCCTACGGAGAGAGCCTGCAGGATTATAGTGAGGGAGATTTTGAGTGGTTCCGAGGAGTACATGCATCCCATGAACTTGAGCACCATCTTAGCTAGGGATGGCACAGTTTAGCCTACTATGAACTGTGAGCAGGATAAGTATTTGTATCAGGGAACATTGTTAGATATGGAGTATTAGCTACTCTTCTTTGTGGATTAACTGATGAACATGGTGATTGATGAGGGTAATAATTACAATAAGACTCATGAACATGGTGATTGATGAGGGTAATAATTACAATAAGACTCGCGTGACATCAACTAGCTACCCCGGATGACGCATCACGCCTCTGTTGACCTGATGAGGCATCTGGTCAATGTGGACCGAAACGCCTACCAAGGCGCATTAACGCCCTTTTCAGGTTTGATCCCTCACATCACGCCAACGGCAACGTCAGACGCTACCAGAAGTACGGTCCTGCTCCTTGCGAGCCAGCACATCAGGCAACGGTAATTCTCACTATAAAAACCCTCATGCTTCGAGGAAAAGGGAGAGACAACTTAGCTAAAGAAACCCCCCACGACTACCCACTAACTTGATCGTCGGAGGGGTCGGGTCGAGCTCCCCGACCCGACCTTTGTGCAGGTGTGAAGTTGGAGGTCGTCCACTAAACACACAGGCGAGGAGTCCTCTCCCGGTGGAAACGACGACCCCGTCCCGATCGGACCAACGCAATCGGCCGCCTCAGCAATCTCGGGAAACGTCCCAGGGAGATCCCCTATCATCCGGACCCGAACTAAGCCGCGACGGCCCCAAGGCCACGGCTTGAAGTTATTTACACCAATAGTGATGCATCAAAAATTGTTGTATGTTAAGAGTAAAGCGACTATTTTGAGTCCAAACCTGCGTAACAGAGGAAATTTATTCCAATAAATTAGATTGATATCAGACATTTTTCTTCGTTGTACAGTAAAGTCTTCAATTTGATTCGGACCTTTCAAGTTGTCTTTGTGAAACAATCCTCAAAGATCGAAGCCAACTGGGGAAGACGCATCCTTATGCTTCCCAGCTCACAGAGATTGGCCTTCTCATCTTGCACTTCCTTCGGCCACTATGCACCCACACCAGTTGCCCTTCTGCAAAACTTCCTTCGTCGGACACGCCCTTCCTCGACTCGAACACGACCGCGTAGCTTTTGATCTCCTTGATTTCTCCAAATGTCAATCATGTCCGGCTTGAGCACCGATGGGCTCGACGGTCGGCGCCCTTGACTGGATCCTCGTCCCTCCGTAGATCAGCTTGGCCACCGGCCGGTCGGTGGAGTTGAGGTAGCTCTTCAGAAGCAGGGATTGTTTGTAGCCTATCAAGGTGGCCGGCAGGACGTGGACGTGGACGTCGACGGAGTCGTCCTGCTGGTTTACCTCGGAGTTGGCCAGCACCATGCCGGCCCGCCGGCTTATCTCACAGCCTCGCCCTTCTTGGCTCTCCCGTTGACTCCTCGGTCGCAGACCACCATCTTCCCACGGATTCTTGCCTCAGAAAGGGATCCCTTGAGGCAGAACTGGGCAACCGTCTCCCCACCGGACTCATAGACCAGCTCCGGCTCCTTCCCGCCACTTTTTAAATAGTGGTTTCCCGTGTACATGGACTCGCCATAGAGGGCACGGCCATTGCCCATACGGACGAACGCCGGGAACCGCCGGTCCAGCGTGCTCGCACCCACCGTGATGATCCAGGGAGCCTCATTGGCCACGGAGCTCGGCACGGGCCCGTTGTTTCCGGCTGCACAGACGACGGTGACGCCCCTCTCTGTCGCCCGGAGGCTACCGACCGCGATGCTGTCCTCGGAGAATGGGATCGGAAAGCCGCCGAGGGAGATGGAGAGGACGTCGACCCCGTCCCTGATGGCGTCGTCCATCCCCGCGACGATGTCGGGTCTGTAGAACCCGTTGAACCAGCAGACCTCGTAGACGGTAATGTGGCCAACGGGGACCATCCCCTGCGCCACGCCGGTGCTGATACCGAGGACGCTTGCTCCTGGAATCACAGATCCGGCGGCAGTCGACGCTGTGTGGGTGCCATGCCCATGCCAATCACGCTGAGACACGTACTCCAGCATGGATACCGGCGCCGGCTTCTCCAGGTGGTTGCTGCTATGGCCTTCAGAGGACAACCGAGCACCGATCAGCTTCCGGTTGCAGCTCGAAGAATTAAGTCCTACCCCGCCCGGTAAACGGCTTTCCACCGCCTTGGCACCGGCGGCATCCTGTCGTCACGGAAGCTTGGCGGCATCCTGTCGCCATACACCAGTGTCGAGTACTCCGATGATGGTTTCTCTGCCGAACCTTGACCTGGACCAAGCACCACTCGTCGCCAAGCTCAACCCCAAGAAGGTGTAAGAGTACGTAGTAAGCAGCTCAAGCCGGCGGTCGGAGCGGACCGAGGCGACTCCAAGCAACGCTCTCAACGCCGCCACTTCATCCTCTCTCAGACTGGCCGCGAAGCTTTGAAGAGCGGTGTGGTACGAGTAGAAAAGCCGACAAGAAGCATCATTCTCCTTCGCCAAGAGGATTGCTCACTGCAGGAAGGACAGGTGCCATTGCAGCCCTGGTCCAGAAAGCAGCAGCAGCAGAAGCACAATTAACCATATCCGGTGGGTGAAGTTGGCCAACGTGAGCAAGAACAGGCAGAAGGCAGCGGATTCCATGGACGGAGCACATGTCGTGCTCCTTACCGCAGTAGAATGTGGTGGTGAAGCCCGAGAACGACAAACGGCTCTCCTCGTCGCAAACTGAAGGACATGAGGGCAGGTCGGTGCTGAAGTCACGCGAGATCCGCCGGTGGGAGTTATTGCCGTGTTCTTCGCTGTGGCCGCTTCAGAGAAGGACGGGGGAGGGAATGCTTACCGCGTTTCACTGCAGCGCGCTGTATGGGTTCGAACATTGACATCAAAATCTGTCTTGTCGCGTCTCTCTTCTGCCGTCAGAAGACTTGTGCTTAGGTGAGAATTGAACGAGGGAAAAGAATAGGATTCCTCTTTGGTGATCCCTTTCATTTGATGGTTCCTCACAAGATTGTTTCCTTCTTTCTCTGCAGCTATCTCTGCTTTCAACTATGGAAGAAGATTTGGATTGCTCGACTCAGTTTCACAGGAGAGTTATGAATTTTCTCGAGCTTTTTAGTGTCTTTCTATCAACAAGATTTTGATGGAAATGATTATTATGTGTTTTCAGATAAGCTAAAAGAAGAACATGATCAAAATTGAAGAAAACCAGAGGATCATGATGGAAATAGAAGAAACCAGAGGACAAGATTCTGATTGCATAGTGATTATGATTGAAGAAGGACTTTAGATCAAGAATATCTTTTTTGGTGTAAGCTAATTTATTAGTATAAAGGTAAATATTATTTGATTATTTTTTCATGATAAATATTTTTCTCTCGACTTAAAATTAATGTTTTACGATACGACGAGATAGATAAGATAGATCAACACATAAATAGCTGTTATGGCTTTATGAGAGTGCATTATAACAATATGGGAGAAGGTGAGAATGAGTTTTTTAAAGCTTTCAAAATTATCTTTTAATTAAATTTAAGAGAGGATGGCGGAGAATATAATAATTTCTTTTGATTAGCATTGGGAGCATTAGTCGATTTCAAATAGTTGAATTAAAAAATTAGATTAATATCTTATGTATTTGTATTCCTTCTAAATAAATTATTTACCATCATCTATGGCTGCCTTACTTTACATTTGGCTACATGAAGAATATGATTCCTTACCAACAATTGGATAATGTTATCAAATAAATCATCCGAATGGGTAGAAGCAACTTTTGAACATGTATAGCTTGGCACCAAGAATATGATTCCTCACCAACATTTGGGTGGTGTTTGTTTTTGATCATTGGTTGGCTATAAGCAATTTAGATTACGTTCAAATGAACATGTATGGTTTGTTCTTCTAATCATGGTAAATTCATGACTTCGACCCATTGAATTATGAATTATAGTATCTGAATCTCACACACATTGAATTATAAATAACATGTCAATAGAAATATTAATAGAAGTATAAATAATATACGTATATCATTTATCGTATTTATAAAATATAAACATCTCAAATGGATAACTTTAGTTTTGAGTCTGTCACAAATTTATTGTCAAAAGATGAATAGGTTTTACGAAAGATCATAGAAATATTACATCGAAGGCATACTAAACAAAGGCCCATCTCTGGATTTGATTAGTGATTCATGAGATTATTGATCCCCTATGTGAAGTTGATTAATATTTCATGAGATTGTTGACTCCACTTTAGCATATACGTAGGAAGATGGTATAAGTATAATGGTTTCAAAAAATTAATAATGAATTGGTATGAAATTGATCGATTCAATCCAAAATTGTAACCCTTTACTTATTAAATCGTGATTCAAACCATTATATATGACCCAACATTTTTTATTCTTAGTATTGTGATACTATTCTTTTAATTCACCTTCTTTCATTTGATTCACGTGAATATTTTTAATAAATAAAAATATTAATTTGTTTACATCTTTCATATGTAGCAATGAGTCAATCAAATAATTTTGTGTTTTAGTGCTACCACATGATTATGGGTTCATAATGAACCAAGAATAATCCAAAAAAAAATTATTTTTACTTTTTTTCTTCATCTATGCACCCTCGTCGTAACTTTTTAAAAATCATATAATAAGATATAAATTTATTTATTATATATATTATTTATTTATTCGTACGAAATGATCCGTGGTTATTATAGATTTTTAGCATGAAGGATGATGTCCTCCCTTAATTAAATAATCATGTTTTTTCATGTTCTTTATTTTTTCTAACTTTCTTATATTTAAATTTACGAGTCGATTATGTCTCATTCAATTGAATCAAATTTATGTTTCTTTAATTGCGAGTGCAACTCTTTTTTATTGTTAATAATTTTATATGTTTAAATGATGTTCGAGAGACTATAATGTTGCTCTTCAGTATCGATTTGACGGCACACTTTAGCTACTTGATTCCTTTCTCTCCATAATTGCCACACTAAACACCACCATATCTTTATTACCACATTTGCCAAAAGAATCAACCATCGGGAATATCTTTCTATTAACAACTTCATTGCATGGATCGAGTGTCGATATAGGTTAGTCTTGTTTCAAAGGTGTGAAACCGGCTAAGTGAGTCTTCTCGAGGGAGGGATGGAGTAATCGAGATTGAGCAGGAGCCGACGAGGGCAACTCTAAAGTTATTCCGATGTGGAGCTGGAGTAAATTCGATTTCTGTCGGGATCTTGCATAATAGGTCGATGTTATGACGGATTCCCAACTTGACCTCTCCGATGTTTAAGTTAGTTGATGGAAAATTGATTCTATATATCGTGGGGTTTTTTGAGATCGATCTCCTCTTTAAGTGTTCGGGATTGATTTTTATACTTACGGAGCCAATACAAGGGAACTACGGTTGCAAGGGTCGTTCGTACCTCTTGCGATGCATTCATGCGGGCAGTTGTACAACCTCCTGTGATGCAAGTCAACCTATCCGAACTTCTATAGTACGGCGTTGATCTATACCACCCCGTACAGTACGAGGTTGGTAGGGGATGACTAAGAGAGTGTCGACCGTCAACCCAGCCCTCTCCCACGTGAGACAGGTGTCGCATTGTCCTCCCGTCAGGTGGCTATCGGTCGATGACCTAAGGTTGGAATACTTCTTATCACTAATTAATATCATTATTGGTTGGAATACTTCTTATCACTAATTAATATCATTATTAACATGTTATATTGTCATTAATTTTCCTTATGTAAATAAATACACACACACACACACACATATATATATATATATATATATATATATATATATATATATATATATATATATATATATATATATATATATATATATATATATATATATATATATATATATATA